GCAGAGGGGCAGGAAATATAAATAGATTGGGGAGGGGTCCCAGCAGAAAGTAGCTCTGGTTCTGCACCTCAAATAATTGTTGCAGCCTCGATGGCAGTTTAATGCGACTTGGAAGGCTCACTGACCTCTGTAAATCTTACCCCAGGAGACGCTAAATCACATTTATTCTCCACTAAATCATTTAGCTATAACGGCCTGCAGGCTGCAGCAGCTGCATTTTGGAAGCAGATTGATGATTAGGATTAGGTCTAAAAACATATTGCTCCCTTCTTAGGTTTTACCTTAGGGATGGACTATTGGAGATATATATATATATATTTTTCTTCTCTGTTGGTGTAAAACACTTGGTTGAAATAATGATCTTGACCCCTATCTGGCAGGCAAAAATGTCATTTAGACTGAATACATTTGAATTGCACTATAATTTGATGCGGTTGTTTTGTTTCCCAGTTTCATATCATCTTATTTTGATCTTCCCAACAGCCCTAACAGATGTATTTGAGAGGCCCAATTTGGCCAAATTCAAAACAAATACTGCATCCAGGTTTGGTCGCCACGATGTAAAAAAGTTGTTGAGACTCTAGAAAGAATGCAGAGAAGAGCAGCAAAGATGATTAGGGGGCTGGAGGCTAAAACAGCAGCAATACTGGGTCCCCTGGAACCCCCGTCCTGCAAAGCCCCCCTTTTGCAAGCCCGTTTGAAGTGCTGCGTCATTCCTGCTGCCCTTCCCAGGAGCAAAGCCCATTACGCACTTCACCAGCATGCAAAAATTACTTTCTCATCTCAGCTGAAGCAGAAAATTATAATGAACCTCCCCCACCCCACCCCCAATGGGAAGCCAAGAGTTCTGGAGAAACAGATAAAGTGGCTATCTTTAGCTCTTAAGAAAAATGACACTCAATAATGCGACTTTAATTCACTGCCTTCCACCTTCCTGGCTTCTTAATTTGGTCGGGACGCCTTGGGAGGAAGCCGGCTTTTGAGCAACTTAGCATTAAAACTCCGGCTTGATAATGACAAAGCCGATCAAGCAAGCCTTTTCGATTTATATTTTCTCTTTGCTTAAATCCTCAGGTGGGATTGATGAGTTTGCCGGGAGCTTCCAGGGGCATCTTGGCTGTCCGTTGCTTAGAATGAACAGGGATCTAAATGAATAACAGAGTTGGAAGGAACCTTGGAGGTCTTCTAGTCCAGCCCCCTGCTCAAGCAGGAGACCCTACACCACTTCAGACAAGTGACTGTCCAGTCTCTTCTAAAAAAACCTCCAGTGATGGAGCACCCACCATTTCTGAAGACTAGCCATGCCCAGTTCCTGCAACCGTTCTTCATGTTTTAGCTTCCAGGCCCCTAATCATGGTTGTTGCTCTCCTCTGCAGGGTTCCTGCATCTTTTTTAGAGTGGGTCTAGACACGAGGGTCGGGTTAAAGATCAGTGCAGTATACAGCCATAAAAAGAGCTGTGCTTTAGGCAAAGTCTTTTCACAAACCGACCATGTAATTGTATTGATCTGAGATGGCTTAGCGGTTAGGGAAGATACTGTAAGCGTCTCCAAAAGATCAGACTTTCCAAGTTACCGCTTTTCCCATTGTAAGGAATACCTTGAAGAAATCTGGCGACTGAAAAAATCTTAAAGCTGTAAATTGGCCGAACGAGAGATTCGCTTTGCCTGACTGCAGTTTTTTTTTTGAGCAATAAAAGACCACTTTTGGACAATTCTTCGCCACTGCAAATAAAAAAAAAGAGTTAGGATCATGAAACAAAAAGAAAAAACATTAAGCAAGTTGGGAAATCAATGGTAGGTTGCCGAACTATTATGCGGGCTACCCCCCTTGTTTGTTGAACTAAATGCAGAATATATTATGAGAAATGCTGGGATAGAAAAACTAAACATTGGAATTAAAATTGCAAGGGGAAAGAAACGATCTACTACTCAGTTTGGGGGGGGGAACCCTGCCAGGTTTCTTCCGGTTCTTTCTTCTACATCAAAACAGCCCCTTAAAACTAGCCAGCCAGAAACCCATTGCAATTACAACAAAATGCAATTAAATTAAAACCGAACTGGAAAGACACCGTGGTGGAGTCTTCAAGCTTTAGGGTCTGTTTTTTTCCCCACCAACTAAGCTTTAGAAGAAATATGAGTGTGTTCCCCCTCCCCTTTCCCCCCCCCCCCCCCCCCCCCCCCCCCCCCCCATGACTCAGGGATGTCAAAACAAGTGGCCGGCTTTTACTCTAACACTTCTTGAAGAATTTGATTGAAATTCTGTATGTCCAGATAACGACTGACAAAGTGGCCCTCTTGCAGTTTTTTTTTTTTTGTTTCAAGATATTTTTGGAAACAGCACAAGTGACCTTGGCACAATGGAGCGGCTTTTTCCAATTTAGGATTTTGCAGCTGACCCGAAGGGAAATCAGAATATTCTTGAAAGGTTTTTGAATTGGTGCACAAACACCAGCAATGGGTATTGATGTGGGCAAGGTGTTGCTACTCTGTGTGTTGGAGGTGTGTGGATGTGCTGTTTACTTATTTATTTAGGCATCTGTCAACAAACAACGACTGGGTGTCCTTTTTTTTCACTGTTTTATAGCTGGCCTTTTATAACTTCCATTATGTCATTTGAATGGAATACTGTTTTGTTTATACTGCTTTTGTTTCTTTGGGGCTCCCAACTTCGGGGGGCCAGACTGGATCTGAAGTCCAAATGACAAGAGCCTGTAATTTCGGTTTGGAGTTCCATTTTTGGCTTGGCTGGTCTCCTGCGAGAGCTAAATTCCTCATAGTGGATGATGAATGATATAATTCCTCATCTTGAAGAATGGCAAGATTTGTACCAGATCTAATGAAACGAAGGAGAGCCGTGCCGAACATTTATCTTCAGCTTGGGGTTTGAATTTCATAGGACGACTCTCGGATTGCAGAAATATAATCGCCTACGGCCTGGTGCTTATTTGTATTACGCTTCTAGTTAATACTTCTACTCCGAAGTGCCAGCCTTTACTTTTAACCTAGAAAGGAAAACTCTAACTAGTAATACCGAAGAATGCCATACTTTTTTTTTTTTAAGGAAAAGGAACGGATTAGATCAACTAGATCCTGCTGTTCCAGTCACCCTGGTGAAGAAGACCTTCGGTGGAGTTTTCAGTTGGTGGTAGAGATGAATTTGATGGTTATCACTGGAGGTTTTCAAGAAAAGATGATTGGACAACCGTTTGTCTGGGATGGTAGAAGGCAGGGCTCTCCAAACCTGGCAACTTTTAAGACTTGTGGACTTCAATTCCCAGAATTCCCCAGCCAGCCTGAACATCTGCAACGACAGCCTCTTCTCTTGCTGAAATTTGCAGCAAATTTCATGTCCAACTTAACACAGAGAGAGGGTGGAGGTCACAATATGCTATGCCTGGAGACACAACTTGGCATCCTCAGATCTTCTTAATTCAATTAAACACTGGTCTC